AAAGAACAGTTTAAAACAATTGCAAATTTAAACAATTTCAATATATTATAAAAGGAAATAATCGAAATAGTTTTTATCCGCTTTCTAATATTTTTTAAGTGAACGTTCATGCAAAAGGTACCGGTAATAAATTTCATACCTGAATCCTACTCTTGCACTTTCCTCGTCAAATTGTTGTAATTCACGTTCTTGTCTTTCATGTAGTAGACGTATCCGTTCACTACGTTCACTAAGAAATTCCTCAGTTTCAAGTTCCATTTTTTGTGCAAGTAAAGCCCGCCTGACCGATACTCGATCTTCTAATTCACGACGTTCTCGGTTTCTTTGCGCCTCGGCTTGCATCTTGTTTTTAGATTGGTATGCCATTAAAATTTCTAATTCATAATTCAATCTTTCCTATAAACATACGAAAGATTAATATTATACTGTTTCGTACTAAATTTAATTTATTTTATCTGGTTATTCATAGATATTTTTGATCGTTTTAATCATTTGAATAAAAGATTGTATTATACTGTAATGTAGTATCTTACTTTAAGACTATGGCATTCGACTTCTTGTGACTCGTCCAAACGTATACTTTGTTTCTGAAGCATTTCAGCAATACTTTGTTCATACTGCTCGCCCAATAAAGCCAACTTCCTTCTCTGTTCTTCTTTTAATTTTTTAATTACCTCCTTCTGTTCTTCTTTAGCCGTTGTTTGTAATATTTGAGTTTTTAATGCTTTATATTGCCGCGTTTGTATTTTGCATGTCTCCCTAAATTGTTTGCGAATTTGCATTTCTTTTTGCTGAAATAACAAATATATACAAATATACTCCAATTCTACTTATTTGATTGATTAATAAATGATTTTTTCTTTAAAATAGAATTTTCTAGTATTTTCTGAGACTTAAATATTTAGCTTACTTTGAGACTCTTAGGTTGTTGCTTGAGTTCTAATGCGTGCTTTTTACGTAAATCACGCTCCGCCCTTTGCATATAATCTTGTTGATTAGACAGTTCAGTTGCATGTTGCCGAAGGACTTGATCTTCCCGAAGTGCATGAACTGCCCTTTGCTGTCTATATTCTAGTTCTTGTGTTTTTTCATGATGTCGTAATAACATATTATGTGCTTGTTCAAGTTGTTGTTGTCTCTTATTTAATTCCTACTCATTAAAATGTATTATGGATATTTATGATCTCTTCAAAATATCTTAAGTATGTGAGAAATTATAATGTTATAAAATAAAATAAGAAGGGGTTTTGAAATATAATAAACTAACCTCTCGAAGCAATTCTTGCTCTAAACTATGAAAAATGAGCAACTTTTTTCTACGAAATTTACGAATTTCGAAATCAAGGTATTCTCTTTGGCCTCTAACAAGCCGTTGTTCTTCTTGCGCTTCCATTTGTCGTAAATTATGTTTATGACTCTGAAGCGTAGCATCCCGTTGCCGTTTCGATGTAACTTCATCTTGAGATAATTCTTTTTTCCATCTTTCTTTAAAAACCTAAGAAAATAGAAGCATCTTTAATAACTACGTTATATTGCCACATTATATTAAGCTTAAACAATTCTAACATAAATTCAAAAACAAAATCTTATCAATTTAAATTTCCTTACTTTGTAATCTCTTTTTTGCTGAGCTTCCAATGCTTTCCGATCAGCCAGTTGCCTATTCGCAATTTCTCTATGAAGTTTCTTTTCTGCATTTTGGTTTTGTTTAAGTTTACGCTCTAATTCTTGTAGATGCTTTAACTGAAGTTTCTCCAATTCTTTACTAAATTGTTGCAAAAGCGTTTCATATTCCTTGTCTAATAATTGTTTATGGGATTCCATTTCCATCTTACAACGTTCTTCCAATTTCACCTGTTTACATAATAAACAATATAATTTTTTAATACTTTAGTAAACAAAATTAGAACAATAACGGTGAAATGATACTTACCAAAGCACCTTGATGTTCCCGTCTCATTCTTTTATATCCACTCATCTGTTCGTGCATTTCTTCTTGCATATGTTCCTTTTGTTGTTTAGTCACAATTGATGTTGTCCTAATTGTTGCAAAATTATTGGCACCATGCTCAAGTAAATTGGCAGTAACACCACCTGCTGATATTTTATGCCGATTTCGTACAGATCCAGTAGAATAATCATTTGCATCAGCGTTTGGCAGTGGCAGGCTATTGGTGGAGGAACTTTGAGAGCTTGCAGAAACACCCATTGAATGAATCGAATGCTCCGAGGTAATTGAATTACTTTTGCTACTATCGCCGCCTGTTTGTTCATCGGGAGTACCTGTCAAATGTAAATTAGAATGAAAATTAATAAAGGGGATGTACAAAAACATTATTATCATGATGTTTAAAACTTTTTAAGTTCAGAAATTTTAAATATAATGTATACCATCAGTATCGCCAACTGTACTCTCAGTCTCACAAGCATCGATCATTAAGATCTTTTTCATTTTCCGATAATTCAAATTATCCAACTTCCTAACGGCACCTTTCGTTCTTTGAATTAAATCTATTAAAACTTGAGGAGAACGTGTTCTGGTGATAAATTGGTGCTGTAAATTTGAAAATTTATAAATGACAGATATATAAGCTGTAGAATATTATTCTCTGAAGGTTAAATGTTTAAGTGCATAACAACCATACATTTCAGATAAAATATTAATGAAAAACTTACCGATAATAGTTTAGCAGAAGATGGCCTTTCACTTGGGCTTTTGATAAGACACACTTCAACAAAGCGTCGGAAAACATCTGTCCAATTTGGTGAGTTTAAAGTTGGAGCATCGTTCTGAGCAATATGATACAGAGCACTCATAGCGTTCATGTTAAAATAGGGTGGTTTTCTCTCCGCTAAAATTAAGATACGCATAGTACATTATCGACTACTAATATTAATTTGTAATATACATATAACAAGTACAATTCAAATTATTCAGTTTGCAGTACCTAATTCAACGCATGTTATACCCAGAGACCACACATCCACTTTTCCATCATATTGTCCTTCATCCATAGCTAATATCACTTCTGGTGCCATCCAATAAGGAGTACCCACAAAACTATTTGCTGGCCATTTTATACTTGCAGAACCAAAATCTGCCAATTTTACTGTTCCATTTTCAGTAAGTAAAATATTTCCTGCCTTTACATCTCTATGAATTCTTCCATAACCGTGAAGATAATCCAAACCATTCAGTACGCCATCACAAATTGCAGCTATTTCATCCTCTTTTAAGGGTCTTTTATGGACTTCAATAATGTCTGATGCAGATCCGAGGCAATATTCCATCACCAACTGTAAGTGATTTAGAATTTCATGTAAAATAATAAGCATATAACAGTAAATAATACAAGATTAAATATCTGTAAGACTTAATTTAATTATTCTGAAAAAGTATTATACCCAGGCAGTATGGTCCCTGAGGTAACAACCCTTATATTTTATTGTATTGGGATGATCAAGCTGTCTAAGAAATCGTATTTCCTTTAAGATATCTTGCCACTTTTCAACAGTTTGTTTTCCCACATATGACATTTTCTTGATGGCAACAATCTCTTTGGTAACCAAACATCGTGCATAATAAACAGCCCCAAAACTGCCATGCCCGATTTCGCGCAAGTCTTCAAATATTTTCTCCGGATCATTTTTCTCGAATAATTCAGCAATCTCTGGATCCTTAAGACTACCAGGCCTTGGAACAGCTGGCATAGTAAAGGTGTTAATAACTAAATGGCCGAGGCCTATTTCAGACACCGTTAGACGTCCTCTTGCCTTTTAACCTTCTATCCTAAATTTTATAATCTTATTTAAACCTCTGTCAGTCCATTCCAAAATTTAATATTCTATCTGAAAAAGAACATAGGTAATAAATATTAAAGTTAGCCATTAGTTAATCATAATAAAATTCATATGAAACGGTATTAAGATTTGTCTACACTATTCTTTATATTATATTTGCTATATCATATGTTAATGAAACAATTGTATGTAACTAATTAATAGGAAAAACAAACAAGTAAATGATAATATGTAAAATTTTATACAACACAGAATATATTATATACAGTTAAGTAGGTACACATACAACAAGTAGCAAATAAAGTTATGAGACAATAGAATACTGTTTTCCTCATACCCTTGTTTCATATTTTCTTGGTTGAGTCTGTTACATTAATTTAATAACTGCAAGTCCTATTTTTAAATAAAAAACTTGCTAACGTACGATGTTTGGCAAATATCAATATATAAACTTCTACAACACGAAATGAAAGTAACGTCAGATCCTGTCACCGCGAAATTTTTCCTTATTTAATTAAAACAAACTTGACACTTATCATGAGATTCTCAATACAAATCACACTAATCTATAAGCCGATAGATTCATTTGATTCCAATGTCGTTTTAGTATGTTTTTAAAAGGAATATCCGCCAAGAACATCGAAAGGAATCTTATCGGTGCTAGTGCGGAGCTATTAAACGACAAACATTTCCACAAGAGGAACAGAAATAATTGTAAAACCAGGGTTGGTAAGTAAAGAAGACGGTCGAGTGAAATTTGCAGGAGATAGAAATGCGGGTGTAAGGAGGGTTGGGTCTCTGTCCCGAAGTAATCGCGTCAGATTGGTCCCGTAAATACAGTACAGAGACATAGTCAGTATAATCGAAAACGGTTGCCGTGTTTAGATCTAGTGTACGACATTATGATCGGATCCCGGTATATCAACTGAAATTTATCCAAAGCTCCGGCAGCAAGGAAAAAAATGATATTCACCTCCAAAATGGCGAGGGAGCAGGCACGGAAGCATGCGCGCAGCTCCGAGCACTCTCTTCAGGCGGAGCAGCTCTTTTTCCTGAACTTGGCCGATCCTTCGAGCATATTAAGATCCAACAATCACAATTTTCCGTCGTGCAAACGCACCGCACCCCGGAAAAGTACACGTCTCGTACGTGTCACGCACGTACGCACACACGCGCGAGACGCGACAATCCGCGGTAACGCAACAATACGGCACCCACCGTCGGCTCAGACCCACGAGAATTCGCAAATTTTTTGACGCCTTTTCGCCTGGCCTGGGTGTACTCTATGGTAAACGAGTTTTCCATTAATGACAGGTGGCGCTCTATACTGGTCAAATCCTTAACTGGTTAACGTTACCGATAACTAAGCCTTACTTCTTTATCGATTGTATGTTACAAATCAAGTCACAATTTAGGATATAAACGTGCTGTCGCCGACTTAAGAATCGTTATAAACATCTCGTGTAATGGAATTTTCTGTTTAAAATTTAGGATTCTCTTTGAGACATGTACGATCGGTACTATTTAAATGTAATATACTACATTATCGACAATGTGGGTATTTGCATTTATTAGCAGAAATCAAGTATCTTCTATTCTTCATTCTTACTATGTATGTATGATTTGGCGGCAATGCGTACGGAGCGTACATTTAAAGATAAAGGTAGTGTTTATAAAATGTAATACTATAAAAACATAGATTTTATTGATTCGTGAGCATAAACATTTTTGTGCATATATTTATTTTTTGAATTAGTCTACGTACATATATAACTATTTACGTTTTGTACAATCAAAGACAGAATTAAATGGACTAAGGGCAGTAAGTATCAATGAAGTTCAAGCAAATTAGTATTAGTGTTTAATCCATAAATTATAATAAAAATGGTATAAAATAATTATATATATATATATATATTTACATTTTCTTTGATAATATACGTGAATTCACGCAATGAAAATTAAATATAGAGTTGTCCAAATAAAATTTTGTATTACATTTATTATTTCCCATGCTTATTATTTTTATATAATGCACATATAAAATATTATGTGTATGTAAATTAAACTGATTAATATATTACGAATAGCATGTATTTAATTAATAATCAACAATTAATATAATTTTTCTCTGTATTTGGGTTTATAAATAATATAAATATAAACAAATAGAACAATATTACATAGAATAAATTATGTGTTGTCCAAATTTTCTATTAATGAAGTTAAAAATGTATCCCCGTTTATTATTTTTGTTGTACAGACAACAAATTCCACATTTACTGAAAACATAAATTTTTTTTCTATAATACATTACAGGTAGAAATTGATAATTAACTTTCATATTTTATTTAATGCTGTATTACTTACAATCTTCCTGTTGAGACAAAAATCTAAGAGCAGAAATTTCTGCAAATGTACAGCCTCCAATAAAAAAAACCATTACTAACTTTGGTGGTTCAGAGTTGGAATCTTCACTAGTAATAGAGTTTCCTAAAAATAGTGTATGAAAATTATAGAAAACGATTGTAAAATGTGAAATATAGTAATTACAAAATTTTTTACTTCTTCCAGATGAAGCAATATTAAGTGGAACACTATTAATAGTAGGACCTGGTAATAAACCCATCACATCATTTAAGCCCTGCCAACCAGTTGGTTGTACAAGATGTTCTGCCAACCGAATACTTAATGGTGCATATATAGAATGTACATAACTGATGTCTTTTGGTGCAATTTCACTTTCATCTTCAACTGTAAGTCTTAATGCTTTCCTTAAAACTGCATATTGACGAGTAGATTGTTGTTGCTTCAATAAGCCAGCTTTTTCTAAATTCAATATAGTTGGTAAATGTTGATAACCATACGTTTGTATTATTTCCCTTTTATAATAATCTAGTAATTTTTGTTTAAGTCCAGAATTTGTTAAAGACTGTATACAAAGAAGTCGTAAAACTTTAAGAAGTGGTTGTTGTTGTGCTATTAAATCTTCTATATAAGCATTCGGTTTATCTGTATCAATACAGTTTAACAACTCTTGTTCAACTTGCAGTGACTCTAAAAAACTACTTGAATCTGTTACCTCCTTTATCATTTGTGCTATTGTTGTATCTAAAATAAATTATTATAATATATATTTATTGATATTATTATTATAGTATACTTAATGTGAATGAAATTAATCTACGTTTTGCCAATGATTGTTTGGTAGCTAACATATGTGGCAGTCGTGCCACAAATTGTTTTATCTCTTGTACACTTTTATCTCCATGTTTTTCATCGAATTGTGATAAAATAATTTTAGCTTTTTTACTTAGCACTGGTCCCACACCATTGAAATTTTTATCCCTATAATTAAATGAAAATTATAAAATATATAATCATATTTATACAAATGTAAAAAAACTAACTTAATCTCTGCAAATAACTCTTCTGCAGAATTCAGTATAATTTGTTCCATTTCGTTAAGAGACATTGCTGTTGGAGAATCTTCTGAATCATGAAATCTTCTTGCTGGCAACTGAACAGTATCTGAAAATAGAAAAAAATATTTCCTGTTTTAATCAACTAATGACAATACTTTGTAAATTGAAAATGTAAAAATACTTCACTATATTTTATCCCAAAAATTTCATCTATTAATCCTTCGTATGTCAATTGTGTAACCAAAGGTGATAGTAAATCTACAGATCGATCGAATAATAATAAATGTTCTATAACACTTGATTGAGGAGATATTACTTTACTATCCTCTTCTTCTCGATTTAATCTCTCTAGCAGATCCCAAACTTTACTCGCAGCAGGTCCCCTGCCTGTAACTTTTGGAATCTTTCCATATATCCCTTGTAAACTATGAATGGCTTGTGCTACTTGATATAAACATGTTGGATCATTTTCCAAATGAAATTCTTTAAATGCTCCACTAAGTTCCATAGACAAGAGATCATTGTCAAAAGGAAACAAGTCACATTTAAATTCTTCTATTAGCGTAAAACTACCAAAGACACCACGATTCTGAAGCTTTTTCTGACAAAGTAGACTTTTTCTAGGTACAAAAAAGAGATGGAATTCTTTGCGAGGTCTTTTTCCTTCCTCACTGAAAATGAATTAGAATTTTAGTTTTAATGCACTATTATAAAAAAATTTAATGTTAAAATTTATTTTTTATGTTATTCAAACCCGTGAACATTTTCAGCAATTAAATCCATGAGGTTCAGCTGAGGTCGACTAATAAATATTATATTTGTTATATTTGATGGTATTGACAACTTTCCCCCACATAATGGATACATTTTAACCACATCATGTTCCTCAAGTAAATTATATTTTGCAACAAGACCAATTGGTCCTTCGAGAGATTGATCCCATATAATTGCCTATTAAAACATTTTAAAACATGTTAGAATACAGAGTAATATAATTCATATAAAATATTCTTTAAATTTCTAATTATCTTTCAAAATAAATGAAAAACTTATAACTAATAATTCAATAAATTATAAAATTGAATACATAGTTTAAATACCTTTGTACCATCACATTTTTCGAGTAAACAAAGTAGTTGTTTCCTAGCTTGTTCTTGAATAATACCCACATTTAATCGACCAGTTGATAAATGTGCCGATGACATGTTTATAACACCGATCCTGTCACTTGTCGGTGTTTATAATAATTAATTTTATAGAGAAATTACTGTTGACATATCGTCTTCTGTAGATAATCATATACGTTTTAAGCTTGTCATTGAATTTCGATTTGACGTTTAGGTATTTATCTTATAACCTATAAATATTAAGAATGTATATTTAATATTAAATTTGTTTTCGAACAAAATCCATAAATACAAACGTCCCATATAATATTAATTGCACAGATTTAAGATACGTATAAACATCGCATACAATATATCTTTCTCTGTACTGTTCTGGAATACTGACTCTGACAGCAATGCCCCAGTGTATATACACTAACAGATTTTACCCAAATTGACCGATTAGCTATTGAACCACATAAGTAGATAAACATTTATCTACTTACGTTTATAATACTGTTAGACTAAAAAATACAACATTATCAGATTTGAAGATTTAAGGGGGTATTCTAATCCAAAGTATCATTTTTTAGGTATTTTATAGAATTTTTTTAAACAAGAAAATTGTTTTAATTTTTTGCAGACATATTTAATATTATTTATATTATACAATATATTTTTTCCAAATCAAAATATATAAAGTACAAAGAAATTTCTTTTTATTTTTCTTAATATAAAAATCCCTAGTAGAGTTAAATTTGTTTTAATTTGGCGCGAAACTGCGATGCATGGTCATTTGCGAAAATATGTATGTAAGTACAATATATCCAGTGAAACATGGATAGAAGAAAACTAAAAATCGGAAGAGGCTTGCATAACAATTTAGTAGGAAGTCAAATATCATCAAAAAGTGGAACTTTTGATACTAAATCACTGAATGAAGGAACGTCGTTTAGTAATCGAACCTCATTATTAGGCGGTAAAACATTTTCAACTCAAAGTAAGTTCATCAGAAGAATACTTGAAAATCAAAATAAAATGATTGAACATGAAAATATTTTTAGGTCACAGTACATCATCACATAAGGAATCATTCGTGAATAATAAGTTATCATTGAAAGAAGAAACATTAATAAGCAAAAATAAAACATTGAATGATGATACATTATCGCGGAAACGCAAGTCTTCAGATTTTAGCCAATTAAGAATTGAAAACGATAGTGATTTGGGATTGCCTTTAGCTGAATCTACGATTATAAAAAAAAGACGAAATGAGAAAACTGCAATTCAAGGTAGAACCAAAAATATTAATTATGAAACATCAGAAAATAATGTCAATACAACTTCTACCAGACATTGTAAATTTATAGAGTTTTTAACAGTATCTGGTATTAAAATAAACCCAGTTGCTCCGCATATACTTTGTAAGTAGCGTTATAAATAATCTAATGTGTCAATGTGAAATATAGATGTAATATTTTTATTTATTTCATTAATTTATCACTGAAATATCTTGTTGGATCATTACAGGTAATGATATCATAATAGTGCAACAAAAAATGAAGGAATCGTTAAATTCAAAAAAGTATAAAAAAGAAGAATTAATTAACTTCATGGAAAAATATTTTGAAAACGATCAGAACCTCGAAAATGCCTTGTTCGATATGGAATTGTTTATCAATGACAGAGTATCAAATGTATTACATAGTTCTTCTCTTATAAAAATTTTATTGCAAGTATCAGAGTTACATCCAGAAATATATAACAGTCTGTTGACTAAACTGAACGAGTCTGTGCTTATGGCGTAAATATGTTTTATATCATTTTCTTTTTGAGTAAAGTACATAATATTTGTAATAAATTTTTATTAATCTTTTATTACCATTTTTTCAGTGATTCTATTGAAACAATACCATGGGCCCTTTCATTGTTACAACAGTTTCGTTTTTTAGATGTTGTAATTAATTCTGATATTTTAACTAATTGTTTAGAACAATTTCTGGAATCATGTCCTGTGTGGTTTCAAAGAGAATTGATTTTATATTTACCTGATATGGTGACTGATAAACAACATCAAACTGTTGCAGAAATTTTGAATAAAGTATTAGAAGAAAACTCAGAATTAATCAGTTTAATTTTAAATTGTATGAGTAATTTGAATCTTGCAGAAAAATACTTAGATGAATACAAAAACAAAATACTGAACTTATTAAAAACCAATATAAAAGTAAATGCTATACCAGCTGTTGTTAAGTATGTTTAGCTCTTTGAAAAATATGTTTTGAATATATTTAATTTTTAATTAATTTTTTAATAATATGTTCATCCATTTTTTTATAGATTTGTTTTGCAGGACTGTACAGATATAGATACTTTTAAAAATACATTAACAGTGTTACGCGATACTAACATACAACCTCTTGCTGGAGAAAATGTTGAAGAATGTTACCAAAATCAATTAAATATAATCAATGCTTTGAAAATGTACATGTTTCTTTCAAAGAATACAGTAACAATGACACTTGAATTTGTAAAAAATATTACCAAAGATCCGAAACCATTAGATATTATTATTTTGCTTCTTATCTTTTCAACTACAGAAACAAAAAGAAAGAACGTTGAAACTATATTTAAACAACATATACGATCTGGTTTTTACAGAGCTAGTTTGCTGAATTTATTGTATAATGATTACAAACAGGTTTGTGTATTGTAAACTTAACATTGATATTAATTATCTTTTTAGTTTAAAAAGTAAACAGATGTAATTTGTTTTAGGTTGTACAAGAGTTACAGATAGTAGTATTACAATTATCAAGTAATTTATTAAAAACGAGCGAACGTGTATTTATTGACTTTGCAATTGATTGGTTTCGCTTACAGTTTATATGTCATAAGAATAATATATTTAAACAGCGTGAAGTTTTAGAAAGGATTGTATTTCTTATGGGTGATAATGACCAAACAATCAAAAATGCTTTGGCAGTTCTGTGTACAATGGTAACAAAAGAGGAAGAAAGACAATGCTTAGCACCTCATTGTAATCATCTTCGCATTTTACTTGAAAAATTGGATAATTTAGATTTAGAAGAAGTTGGAACATTGAATGATTTATTACAAAATTTATGTATAAGCTCCACTTCCGTATCAGATTCTTTACGGAATGATTTATTCATACTTTTACAAAAACAATTATCTAATTTTAAGCCACAGTACGTATTGAGAATTATAATGTTTACTTATTTTTAATATTACAAACTAAATTTTTAAAAATATTTCATTTTTGAATTTTAGAATAAAATCTAAAGGTGTCCTAGCAGCAGTTATGGCAATAAAGCATTTAATGAAAACATCTGAAACTTCTGATGCTGCTTATAATTTATTTAGTACGCATTGCAAAATATTTAATTACTTAACATATACAGGATGTTTCCGAAATTGTGGGCATAACTTCGGGAATAGATTCCGTTCTGCTATGTAAACACTATCAATTATGAAATCAACTATCAAATTATCATTTTCGATTATTATGAAATACAAATTTCCATATGTTAATTCAACTATAATTCAGAAACAAGGTCATTTTGGGCATATGTTTATAAGAACTTTTTTTCTTATTTTAGCAAACTGAATTCTATTCCTGAAGATATGCCCACACTTTTAAGAACACCTTGTATAAAATAATTAAAAAATTTCTGTTTACTTGCCTTGTGAACATTCAATTCAATTAAATTATATTTTAATTTCATAGAAACAGTACTAAATAATGTAAGAAACTGTCAGAGATCGAAAGCATTATTTTATGACCAATTAATACGTATTATTACCCAAGTTGAAGGAATTGATGCAGATTTCATAAAAAAAGTGACAAATTATGTTGAAGAAGAATTTATTAATGAGAATATGATTGATAAAGACAGTTACAAGTATACAACATTACGTGATCTTCAATTATATGTAACACTATTATATATTTATATTTATAATATTTAACATTTTATCTAGAGGAGAATTAGTTCCTAAATATGGATTGAATAAAACACAAGACGAACCACAAAATTGTGTTTTAACGTTTGAAAACAAAAAATATGGCGCGATTGTAGCAATTTCATTTAAATTGCTCAAAACATGTTGTATAAAACTTAGTAAAACTGGAGATTTAGATGCTATAGATTCTCTCTTAGGCTGTGCAATATTAATGCCAGAAAGTTTTGATGTAGCAGAGAATACGGTAATAGATTTAATAATATGTTGTATTAACTGGTGAGTTGAAAGATTACGAAATAAAAGTACAATATAATTTTAATTTAAAAAAAATTGTAATAATAAATTTCAGGTTTCGAGAAGTGATTAGTGGTTTTGTCACACAAAAAAATGATTTATTACAAAAGCAAGTATTACAACGACTTGACAATTTAATATATTTACAAAGTGAATTGAGCGTAATGTTTTCTTTGTGTGATACAAAATATCAGCCACCTCCATGTTATTTCCATCATTTTCCTTTAGCGTCTTTTGTAAGAATTGAGAAAAAAGTTGGTAAAAAAGGCAAAAAAGGAAAGAAAGGCGCTGTGGAAAAATCTGTTACTTTCAGTGAAACTGAAAGCTGGGAATTAGGATCCTTAATATGTTCAAAAAATCCAATATATTTCAGAAAATTGGATACCAAAGTATGATATAAATATATTTTTATTTTATTTAAGGTATTTTAAAATTGTGCTTGTATCATATTTATAGAATAATAGATATCATTTTTACAGATAGTCCATCTTTTGGATATAAAAATGGAATTAAATACAACACAATCTATGAAGCAGAATATATCTGTAAAACAAGTATGTTTTATTCTTAAAGAACTTCTAGGCATGTTCGAATATGAAAATACTGAAATTTTTATCAAAGACTTGATTGAAGTGTTACCTAAAATTTGTTCGAAACTGCAAGATATTGTGGATACTTTGAGAGAAGAAAGTAACAATCAAAATAAAGAAGCTGTTAGATTAATATTATGTCTTTTGACAAAAATTTTTAATTGGAAAGGATTTGAAAGTGTAACTTATAATATGTTATTACGAGGTATACATTACTATACAACTATATAATACAGTTATATCTTTCTAACTATAGTAGTTTATTTCTTGCTAGATTCTGTATAGCTTTCTCAATCATTTTTATGAAAATGACCTTTAATCAATATTGGGGATTACTAGTTAATGTTTACAATAATAATTATATATATTCATAGTAACACAATGGCATAAAAGAATATAAAATTGTCAAACAATTATAAATAAGATATAGTCGTGAGAGTTTTAGACAAGGAAATAGTGAAAGTGGCAATTGGTACATAAATATATATTCTTACAATAAGTTTCATGATATCCTCCTTAAACTACTGTAACTAGAGGGATAATGCTAGAATTGTTAATGTTTTTATTAGTTTAATAATCTTTTAATTTTTGTTCAGAGGGGTTACGGACTGTAGCAAGTCAAGTAGATGAGAACAATGCCATGTTAAGGTCCTGTAAAGAACTTGTTACAGAATCATGCAAATACTTTGAATCCTTAGCTGATGTTGCCACACAAATATCATTAGCTATTGCATTAATTAATATGTGTCAATCATTAATGAAACATTCTGAGTCTTATACAAAACAAAATAAAGAAAAATATGGTAAGGAGTTTTATATAGTTATAATTTATTATTTATCAATACTGAGATTTCATATGTACTTGAGCTTTTCTGTTCCTCTTTTAGCAAATATGGCATTTGGATTTTTATGCCTTCAATGGTCAGAGGATAAACATTTTAGTCCTCAATACAAAACAGCAGTAATTGGATTACTAAACAGTTGGATTGATAATGAACCACTACCACTAAACACAGTTACTTCCGTTTTGGAATGGTTACCAGATGAAACATCTAAATTAGAAAAATCTTCGGACTGCTTAAACAGAATGCCCTCCATAAAAAGAAGTAACTTTCATTTGTTATTTAAGAAAATATTTGATGGTCTAATTAATGGTATAAAAATAGCATTATCATCGGCTGAAAGGTACAATTTTTATATTTTATATAAATTTATTGAATTTTTAAAAAATAATATGAATACGTATTTTATCAATAAATTTCTTTCAGAGATTCCATAAGAGTAGAATTATGGGGTACAGTTGCATCTAATGTTCAAAAATTAGTTCAAATATGTAAAACTTTAACTACAAAAAATAATATATTAATCTTTTTGAAACATATGCCTGTGTTATTAAAATCTTTCTTAAATCTTGGAATGCCTGTTCTGGAACACAATTTGAAATATCACACAGATGATGTGACCAAAATATTGAAAATGATGCAAGGTATAAATCTGAATTAGCAGACTTAATTGTACTAGAATACCATTTATAAAATTTTTAGTTAAAATACAATACTATCTTTTAAGTATGTGCGAAATATTCATAATTTTAGGGGGTACCAGATATTTGCATACAATATGCTGTGATAGTGTCGAAAAAAGAGATCTTACATTAACGAAATATGTTCCTGTAGCTAAGTCTGTATTAGAAAGATTACTTTATAGCGTAAAGGGAATGTTAGTTCTCAATAACAGTACCGATGCTTTTTGGATGGGTAATCTTATTAATAAAAACTTAGAAGGTCAAGAAATTCTATCACAGGTTTGTTAATTGCTTTAAATATACATCCTTTGTTTATTTATATTGCATTTGACATTTCATTTCTTACTTTTAGAACTTATCTTCAGAAGAAAATACTTTACCAAGTTCAGATACCATTGATGAAGCAAGTAATAATGTATCATCTGATATATTAGAAAGTGATTCAAATAATGACCTCGACGATGAAGATGATATATTATAATCTTTTTATATAAAGTTATAAAAGAGTTAAACTACCTTTGTATCGATGTTAAAAAGAATATATTCGTTGCATTAGTAAAATATACATTTTTATTTTCACATTAGATATTTTTTAAAAATAAAATATATTAATACTTTTTCAAATATTTAAAGTTAACAATACAATTAATATAAAATTATTTACATACAAGATCTATTTTAATTAAGTACGATAAAAAGCCCTGTACAGAACTGAAGGTATACAAAAGTGTTGTTACAAAAAATGTTTGGTATGAAAAAAATTATTTAATATAGGTAGTTTTTCTGCAGACGAAACAGTAAGACAAGTTTTAAATTAATTTTTGTAAATGGAATGTTACATTTCTATATTCGTGGATAAAGTTATAAAATTGCAAAATACCAGAAAGAAGAACATTATCGTGTATCACATGTTTTCAGTCAGCTAAACTGTTTCACTATGCTACTAGTACAAACTAAATTACCCAATCTTGATAAAAATTTTCTATTTATAAATAAATGAAAATGAGTAAACAGTTGATAAGTAGGCAAGATTCTGCAACGTCACAAATTAACACTGTTCTTTTATACATATAGCAATGATTATGATGCATTGAAGTCATAAAATAAGTCAGATGTTAAAGTTTTTATGTTTGTACGGTGAAACGAGCTAATTTACAGACATATGAGGTGATAAGAACTTGAAACTGAACCTTAGAAACTTTTCGTTAATTGAATGGTCTAATTTATATTAACCACACAGCCATGGTTTAGTTGGAGAAAGATAAGTATATATGTAATTTGTTTTTCCGATTTTTTACAATATTATAACTTCTCATAGAATGAAACAATTTAGTATATAACTTTTTTGAGAATCTATTTCAGTAAATACTATTAAAAAAATTAATATGAATTTGAAATATTCTCTACTGTTTCACTTGCAGAAAATTATATCTTCCAAAATTAAATAATTTTCATACAAACGTTTGTCTATATCAACAGTTTTTATAAGAAACTCTTTCATATTCAGTTTAAATATGTTCTGTATAAATACTAGTTTTATAATTGCTATTTTTACTTATTTTCACATATTAAATTATTATTAAATATTTGACATTTCCATGTTAAATCCGGCATAAGTGTATCTTCAACAAATACTATTTCATTGTTTCCATTAACTAACAATATAGAATGTGTTCTTGTACAATATTCCTTACCAGATATAAAAATTGAACTGAGCTTTTCATACATTGGTGAATGTCGTTGTTGCAATACTGGATCTGGTAAGTACCTATGTTTCAAAGGTTTATTAAAAACTAAACAATATGTATGAATAATTTTCATATACAGTTCACAATTCTTTAAACAAGAAATACCTTTCTTCTGATTTCAAAAGCTTTAACAATTCTTCTATAAGATCTGCCTCTTTTAACGTTGCAATATTTTTCAGTATGCTTCTGAATTTTTCTTTTCCTCCTTCTACTTTTTTGAGAGGACTGTCAAAATCGCTATTACTACACCCCAACACTGCATCGTGATTTGTAAAAGGTCCTTTCGATTTTATTGAGCTACTAAGGCAATTAACGTTTGCATTGCTAAACAAACAAATATGAAGTTTTTACTAGAAAAAAGAATGTAATTCTTAAAAGTTTGAAAATTGTTTACTTACTACAAATCAATTAAAACCAATAAATATGGATTGTATGGCTGACCATTTTGATTTTCTTTGTGTAATTTATTTAAATATGAAACTGCAGAATCATTCGAAGTAATGAAATTAGTTATTAAATGGCCTCTTCCCTTCTTAGGAGTATCATATGATGTTTCTTCATTAGGTAAATTTAAAATGATACCAGCCTTTCCTTTTAACGATAAAGCTAGCCATGTTCCACCTTCTTTACCAGGCTCCATATCGGTACCTACACAATTAACAAATATATACAAAAAATAAAATGTGGTTAAACATTTATTAAATATATTAAATGTAATTATTATTTGTAATAATTATTTTCGTAAAATTGAGACTGTTAGTTTTAATGTACCCAAGAAAAAATTTCAAGAATGTTATAAATGATTACTTCTTTAAAACTTACTTTCATAATAATCCAAAGATTATTTAAAAATAATACAATTATGACATTTAAATATTTATATAAGGAATTAATTGTAAATAAATGTCTACACGATCATTTATTAACACATAATTATGTACATTCATATTAAAAATATTTTTCACATACCTCCCAAACATTCTGGATGATCTTTCCAAAATTGAGCTGTTAACGTAGGACGTTTAAAATATTCGTCCCGATTTGATGCTACAATTAATCGGTAGGATTTAGAATTAGCATCTGGATTGCGATAAATAAATGAAATGCACATAATTGAAACAATACAGTGATTTCTCTATAGTATAAATGTTAAAATGCGAGATGCTTTTATATCAGCTGATATTTCTTTTTATTTAGCCATATCACTGATAAGATTATAGTACATGTCATGCATTACAAACTAAGATAATGTAAAATATGGCGATGAACAGAGATAACTAACTATTCTATATTCCAATGCATATACTTCATTCTGATAGCATGTACCAAAAGATATCGACTTTATTAGCAATTATTGATATAATACATTGCTTTAATTAACAAATATAAATTATCAATATCAATTTCTTTAATCGTATTTTCAGTTGTATGTATGCATTTGTTTTATGTGTTCATAAAAAGAGATCGTAATGTTAAATAAAGTTACGTAAAAATATGACATTTCCTAAATGGTCATTATTACTTGTCAGAATTGAAAATGTTTGTGGCGGCTAGTCCTGCATATGTCAATGATAGTTACTGCCATCTACAGGAAATCTGTGTCATAAATGTACGAGCTTTAAAAAATATTACTGTCGAAGCACTGTAAAATTAAACATTAATTATTTAAACATTATTTCAAAGCACATGAACATTTTAGGTATAATTTTACAACAACAATAACATTAACTAGTTATTACAAAAATAACAGTACAAAAGTTATAATAAAAACTGAATCTTTATTTTTTAAATAAAAAGTATATTCATATTTATAAACACATGATAATCATTATTAAAGTATATTTCTGAAAATAGAAATTGATGTGTTAAATGCAAAAACGCATAATTAT